TTGCAAATGTATTTTATCGAACTTATGTAACGTGAATAATTTAAATCCTTCTTATAACAGGACCATACAAAAATGAGATGTATGAACGTGTTGTAGATCTTAATTACATCCTTGGAAATTGATACGGAAATTTCTGACTTTGGAAGAACATATTAACGACAATCCAATCGTATTTGCTGATGGATTACTATGTTTCTTAAACCAAACTTAGAATTATTGCATCATTAACCTTGACCATAATTCAACGGGGTAATAGTAACCCCGAATGGTATTACTGTAACAGCCCAAGCTCACCGTTAGCAGATATTGTCCGTTTAGGTTTTTCCTTCCGGGCTTCCCCTCAAGGTTTTAAAACGTATCCACTAGGGAGAGGTTTACACACTCTTATAAGGAATGTTTCATTCTCTTCTCTAATCAATGTGGGATCTCACAATCCACCCCTCTTGGGGGCCAGCATCCTCGCTAGCACACCACTCAGTGTCCGGCTCTGATACCATTTGTAACAGCTCAAACCCGCCGCTAGTAGATATTGTTTTCTTTTTTCTTTTTTTAGGGCCACTCAAACGAGAGACCCCTCTAAAAATGGGTGTATGCCGCTTGGTGTGGTGAGCACAAAGCTATACCGTGTGCTTGCCGTTCCAAGCGCCATACGCCCATTTTTTGAAGGGTCCTCTCGTTTGACTGACCCTAATAAAAGAAAAAAGAGGACAATATCTACCCGCGGCGGGCTTGGGCTGTTACAATTACTCCAAAAAAAAAACAGTGGCAACCTTATAATCACGCAGACTTTTAAATGAAATCGTGTAGCAAATGAATCCATAATCTAGGAGACGAGCGAGGTGTCAAATAATAACCAGTACCACGCATCCACACAACAGAGAATCAAATGGAAATCATAATAATCAAGGAAAGAACTGTTCTTATAAAGAACAAAAATACAAGCATACATGGTTGCATGTAAACAACTTCACAAAATTAGCTACTTACATGACTTGGAGGGATGTGCTTGCCACTTAGAAGATCCAAGAGAACAGTACCAAAGCTATAAATAACACTTTCAGGGGTTACCCTTCCTACAATAGACAAATAAAAGTGACGAACAACACTCGAAACGCTAGTAAATTTATAAACGTAGCTCAAAACAACGGAAAACGAGCGTTATAGTTGTTATCAACCTTTCGACACGAAAAATACTCGGTTTCTAATAACAAACAAAAGATAAACATCAAAGTACCATTTTTCAAATACTCAGGTGGTGTGTAGGCCAGATTTGTGCTGTAACTCTTACCGTCCCTACTGTTTTTCATCAATCCAAAACACGAAAGACGTGGATCGCCACCCTATAAAAGAGAACAATGAAATGAAGATAAACATTACATCAAAAAACTAAAAATAGATACCAATAAGTGAAAATGATACCTCATCAAAAAGAACTCTGTAAGCATTCAAGTCATGGTACAATGCACGGCCTTTAGTGGTACAATATTCCAAAGCTTCAGCAATATAGTACGCAACTCTCAACCGCATGGCCCACTCAATGGTTTGATTTTCCCCTGCAAAAACGTAGCAAGCTCATTCGATCTTACATAGCTAGACGCAAAATCTAACCATAAATGATGTCGTGATAGCCAAATGGGGTCGATGTAGTTATTCTAAGCAACACCTACAACTTAAATAATGATGCCGTGATAACCAGACAGGGTCGATGTAGTTATTCTAAGCAACACCTACAACTTAATAATGATGTCATGATAGCCAAATGGGGTCGATGTAGTTATTCTAAGGAACACCTACAACTTAAATAATGATGTCATGATAGCCAAACGGGGTCGATGTAGTTCTTCTAAGGGGAGTGGACCTCCCACGTCTCTACGATAATATGATATAGTCTACTTCAAGCTTAAACTTGGGTGATTTTGCTTTTGGTTTTACCTCGTACCTATAAGATCATCCCCACTTCTAAGAGTTTCGTTGTTTCGGAGTCGATAAACACGCTCCCTTCCCGTATTCCCCATAACTTAACACAATCAAGTTCCAGTATAAATGTTATGCTAAATGAATGGTTATACACTTGTAGTAAAACAAGTAATGTTGCGGATGATTGAAGTAGAAGAAAATGAAAGCATACAGTGGAACAAATGCTTTGCAAGAGTATCATTAGGCATGAACTCCGCAACCAGCAGCCGCTCATCACCATCGCAGCAATACCCTATCAAATTCGCAAACCTTGGATGCCGTAGCTTCCCAACGCCCGAAGCCTCTTCCTAAAAATTGCCCCAAAATTCCACACACCCGTTTCATAAAATCATCAAAAACTCCACAAAAACACAAAAAAACAATCAAATTCTTCAAAACAAGAGCAAGAAATACCACAAACTGCTTGGCGTCCGGCCAAGCCACCTTCGTGAACTTCTTAACAGCGATCCACTTCCGGTTTTGAAGTCGGCCCTTATACACAATGTTCGGAGCCTTCTCGCCGCTCTCGGAGACTATGAAGTTGGAGCTGAAATTGTCGGTGGCAGCCTTAAGGTCCGATAAGGAAAACTCGGAGAAACTGGAAACCATATCTCCGGGGGTCGTGTTGGGTCCAATAGAAGGCGGCGGCTCCACATACGGCGGCGGAGGTTGCTGGGTTTGAACCTTTTCAGGGTGGGTTTCTGTCAAAAAGATGGATTCACAGCACCCCATAACAAATTTTTCTCACAACCCTTTTGAAAACTCAACTGGAGAAGAGGGGAAAGTGAAGCAGAGAGGGGATTGGAAAAAGAAAGAGAAGAACCTGAGGTGGGGAAGGAACTTTTTAAGCTCTACAAGAAAAGAAACACAAAGCGAGGAGGAGCTAGGAGAGGGCCTCGTCTTTTCTCTCTCTTTTTATTCTCTCACGATTAATGGGGCAATTAAAAAGAGGAGCAGTTCTTACAGTTCATTCAATTAAAGAAACGGCTCCTAAAAATTCAGCAGAATTGGATTTGATTAAGTGAGGGGTTTAATTAATCTGGGTCAACTTCCTTCGTAATCCCAACAAATCCAAGTTCCATAATACAGTGATGTCTGAAACCTCCGATCCTTAATATATAATTAAGTACGTAAAGTTTTTCTTTTCTACAATTTTTAAATGCTAATCATTCGTACTAACACACAATTTTGGAATGATTACAGAATAACACTTGTTTCAAATAATTATTTTTATATATATACATAATTAAATTATAATTTTTTGTTTTAAGTTTTAGCTAATTCTATTAATTGTAATGAAATAGTAACTAAACTTAATTATAATTTTTTTAAAAAAATAAGATTTTTGGATATGCAGTAAAATAAATAGGTTAGTAAACAAATGTTAAAATATTTATTTTAATTCTTGTAGTTAACTTTTTTTTTATTTATTAAAACCACAATTTAAATATGTTTTAAAGTATTTTTTTTTGAAGTTGACAGATATTAAAATAGTATTTAAACTAATGATAAAATGAACTATATAAATATAATGGCTCCATTTAATGATACAATAAAATATAATGTTCGTTAAAACTATGTTAAATTACTAAGTCTTAATTTTGAAATTTTGATTATTTGGGCAAATGGGTATAATTTAAAATTATTTCTTGAATTTAATATTAAAAAAGAATATATGCTAATATTTATTTATTTTTTAAAATGGGCATCTAGAGAATTTAAATTTATTCTTCTTTCTCTAATTTGGATATTTAATTTTTAAAAAATATTTGATTTTAAATAAGTTTGATACCATAATTAAAATAAAATAAATAAAAGAAACTTGGTTAGGTAGGAGCGGAAAAGTCAAAGGAAAGCTTATGAAAAGTTCACACTGTGTCCAGCATTATAATTATATTTAATAATAAATCAGATAAAAGCTGTATATTAGAAATAAAAATAAAATTAAGAATTAAAAATAAGCATCAAATTTATTCAAACTTGGATAATTAGATTCACACAATCACCCAATAATTAAAAATAATTTTTTTTTAAAATTTTATATTATAATTTTATTTTATTAATTTAAAACACGAAGAATCCATTACTAATTTAAAAATACGAGGAAGGATTATTCTCAATTTTCTACTTAATATTTATTTTTTTTTAATATGTGACTCGTTTATTATTAATTTTTTTAATATATATATATATATACAAAAAAAAAAAAAAAATTGAAAAATTGAACTCTAAATTAGTTAAAAGGGTTTTTTTTTTCGTAAATAAAAATGTTTAATTTTTAAATAATTTCCATTTTAATTTATTATATTTAAAAGTAATGGGGTAAGGGATATGAATTTTGTATTCCTAATGGTGTGCCCACATTTCTTGCCTACAATCAATTAACAAATTGGAAATATCATGGTGGGTTTATTCAAATTATAAATAAATAAATCAATATATATATATATATATATATATATATATATATATATATATATACATATTATTCTCCCAACCAAAAAAAACCCATCAAATAAAAACCTTATTTTCAAAAAAAAAAAAAAAAAAACCATATTTTCGGTTTTCCAAAATTTCAACTCAGTCCAACTTTTGTGATTTGGTTTAAGCAGTCTAAGTTGGTCGGGTTATCGAATCATATGAACACTCTTAATAATTTGAAGAAACAAAACAAAATTGTTGCAAAAAAGTATGCTAGCGAGACATTTTTCCTATATGTGAAAATTTAAACAAAGTAAATCTTAGAAGATAATATCTGAAAGTACCTAAAAATGCTTATGAAAGTCAAATAATTTGATTCAAAGGTCATTTCTTCCCTTATCTCTCCATTTCTAAGTTCGTAGCCTTCGGATCAGAGTATTTCATTGCACTTTGTTGTCTTACAAGAGACTCGAGATATTCCTCTCCATAGCATGACATATTTGACGAGATATTCCTTACCTCGCTAAAGGACCGATCCTCGTCGACTGATCCTCGTGTAAGTAATTTAACTAAAAATCTTATATTCCCACGAAAAAAATGTTATGAGGTTGTAGAAACAAAAAATGAAGGTTAAAAAATTATTCCAAAGCCAAACCATGTCTGGTTTTGTTTGTTTGTATCCACAAAAACTGCACAAAACCATCAAATAATTGAGGGACACAGAGATTCAATGTTATTACAGCTTTCCTTTTCACATTCATTTCTTTGCCTAAGCTCTCGTGACTCATAATGTCTGTCCTTTTCAGCTGCACTCCACTGCACTGCCTCATCTTCTTCTTCTTCTTCTTCTTCTTCCTCTTCTTTCTTGTGTGCAGATACATCAGCCCGGCCTCGACTGATAGCCACGGCTTTTGTAACCCTCCCGACTGAAAAACCGAACACTGTTAAGTTCGGTCAATGGCAGACACCTTGTGTTGTGTTGAGTTTCTGAGTCTGTCTGCAGAATGTAACAGCAACTGCCATTTCAAATGTGATATGTAGGGACTGCATGATCTGCAACCAAGTTGGTTACTTCAGTCCGTGGAGTAATATGGTCGATGTAACAGCCTAAACTACCGCTAGCAGATATTGTCCTCTTTAGACTTTTCTTTCCGAGCTTTCCCTCAAGGTTTTAAAACATGTTTGCTAGGAGAAGAGGTTTCCACGCCCTTGTAAAGAACGCTTTGTTCCCCTCTCCAACTAATGTGGGATCTCACAGTCCCCGTCCTTTCGAGACTCAGCATAGACACCAGTGTCTGGCTCAATGTGGGATTGTGAGATCCCATATCGGTTGGACAGTGGAACAAAACATTCTTTATAAGAGGTGGAAACCTCTACCTACCAAACGCATTTTAAAACCTTGAAGGAAAGTTTGAAAGGAAGAGCACAAAAATAACAATATCGGTTAGCAATAGACTTGGGCTGTTACAGTCGGAGTTCCAGTCGAACTTTTTGATGGTGTTGTCATTGGCAGTATAATGATGATTCAAATCACAAGAAACAAGTGACCTTCTTCATACTCTTGTCTTGGCACTCTCTTCGGCGCTCCGTTGCAAAAGCTCCTCGTAAGCTTTCATGGAGTCAGTTGCAAACCTCTCGAGCGCCTCGAAAATGGACTGCAGACCTGCCTGCAAGCTGCTAGTGCCATCTCCTTGCACATGTCCAGTGACCATAATGAGTTTCTTGTCCAATGCCTGTATCTTTTTCTGCAACTTTTGGTCGTCTCGATCGATTCTTTTCGCTTTCCTTTCGAGATCCTTGTTCGTTATCATCGTCTTTCGCACTTCTTGCTTATCATGCTCCCATATTTGAAGAACGCTCTTAGCAAACACGTGCATAGAATCAACTACCTTCTTCTCAGAGAATCTGTCAAGTACTTGTGACCACTGGTTGCAGATTACAAAGATGGGTGGTGCACCAATCCTGCCCGGTGAGAAAGGAACGAACCCATCAGGTGTTTCTTCAGGCTCATACAGAAGACATTTCAGCAGCCAATTGTTCAAGGATCTCATGAAGTTTTTCTGGGCGCTTATCCAACCTGAGAAACTAGTTGTCCAGCTAATAAGCTCGTGATCGAGTTGCAACGTCACTCGAAGATCGAAATCACTAGGCTTTCCACCTGATCTAATATGACCTAAACCATGCGATTCTTTAATCGCTTGGAACTGAGCATGATGGCATTCGAGCATACCTTTCCACATCCTGGTTAACCTGCAATCAACATGCATTACACGCTTAACGACTGAGGAAACAATGTTGAGAAAACGAAACAGGTAAGATCAGAGCGAACACAATAACATTCTCATATTTTTAACGACTGAGAAACAGCCCAAACCCTCGCTAGCAGAGAGAGGTTTCTACACCCTTGTAAGGAATGCTTCGTTCCCCTCTCTAACCAATGTAGGATCTCACAATCCACCCCTTAGGGGCCAGCGTCCTCGCTAACACACCGCTAATATATATTGTCCTCTTTGGGTTTTCCTTACAGGCTTCCCTTCGAGGTTTTAAAACACCGTCTACTAAGGAGAGATTTCCACACCCTTATAAGAAATGTTTCGTTCCAGATTTCACAATAACCAACGCCCCATGTTCAAGTAATATTCTCACATACCCTTGAATCAGTTCGTTAACTTGTGGCCACAGTTCTTCATCCCGAATCTTATTTATCGTCTCGGAAATCTTATCGACCACCTGAATCGCAATTTTCAAGTTCGTCGACAACGTATTTATGGATGTTTGAATGGCCTCAACTTTCTTAGCCTCGGCACCTCTCTCGTGCAAACGTTTGAGCTGACGTCGCTTCCTCTCGTGGCTCATCCGCATCTTTTCCTCTCCCTACAGAAATATATCAATACAATCAATAACATGAACTAGCATTAACCAGAGCAAAAAGACTCAGATTTCCCAACAATCCCCTGCAAAAGTAGCTTAAATCAACGAAGAACATACATACCTTCACTTCATTATAAAGTTTCTTCTCCCACATATACAATTTCTTCAAGGTAGCTGAAAGATTTCCAGATCTCATACCAATATCCTCAACAAAGACGACTTCAGCAGCAGCACCAGCCATAGCAGAGGGCTTGGCCCTCTGCCGTGAAGCGGGCGGTCGAGCCAAGAATGCTGATCAATACAAAACCCATCAGTATCTTGGAAAGCAAACTTCCATGAACAATTTAAGTTGTGTTTCAATGTTGAATTTACCATGTTTACGTTGATGAGGGAGCTGACCCATTTCCAACATCTTGGCGATTTCATCTCCGAACTCTGAGGCTTTTTTGAACAGAGCTTCAATTTCTTTCACCACTTCATAAACATCCCTTGAACCACCTCCCCTTTTGAGTGCTGCAGAGCTAGAAGGAGCTCCATTGCCATGGCCCTCAAGCTTCTTATTAACAACTCCCATCTCATATTGCACGGAATCTTCCACTGTAGCGCTGGGCTTCGTCTGATAAGCCGCGGCGGCGACGTTCTTGTTAACTACCTTTAATGGGTCGTCCACGGCCGCTTTAGAGTACTTCCCGCCGCTATCCTCGGCGAAGTTATGGTCGCCGTGTACCTTCTTCACAACCACCGGTTGGTAATACCGTACATCTTCCAATTCCGGAATTCCCTCTTCCTCTCTCACTTCTCTCGGATCCCTCCCCGGCGTGTAGCTGCCGTAGTAGTTCCCCACAGCCGGAGTTTCAAAGAAGTTAAGGAAATCCCAAGCGGAGATTCTCGGCGGAGAAGGCGGCGGCGGTGGTGGCTTCGATGACGAAGAACCGTAATATCCACCATAACCACCGCCATAATTAGAATACCCATTATTCGGATAAGGATAATAACCAGAGGAAGAGGCAGATTCACCCATTTGATAAACCCTCTCTGTATTAATTGGCATCTGTTGATGCACCACCGACTGCATCGCATTGTTCTTCATATAGTTCATCTGCACAAAACCGCCACCGCTGGATACAAAACCACCGCAATTCCCATCTGGGTAGTCAAGAAAATCGCCGTGGGTCTGGTGCAACGGCGAAGAGTGATCGGAATGGTGAAGGGTGTTGAAATATCATCACTAGCCCAATAGAGTCAAGCCCAATAATTGTACTAGCCCAATAGAGTCAAGCCTAATTGTACGAGCCCAGTATATTTATTTTAGTAGAGATTTTAGGAGAAAGAGATGTAGATATTTTAGGAGAAAGATTCAATTTGTTAGGTCTAGATTCAAATCGGTTAGGTCTAGATTTAGATTGGTTAAATATAGATTGTTTACTCTTAGTATAAATATCCCCACCCTACCTAGGTTATTCATCCAAGAAATCTAAAAACAATAAAAAGCAGAAGTATTCTACAGAGTGTCTTGTATTCTCTTCTCGATTGGTCTTAATAAAGAGAGCGAGTGTTTCCCACAGTGAGTTGTGTTCAACATTTGGTATCAGAGCGAGGTTAGTGTAGGTTATCTGATCTCTTGGAATCCTTAGTATGCTCTGTGGTTGCAGCTCTGCCTGATCTTCCACATCAGAAACGATTTCTTGAGATTAGTGGTGAGTGAGTTTCTTTTGTGTCGTGAGAAGTCTGTGACTCTGCAAGTCTTGTGTCAAAAGAACTTGTTTGGTATTACTGAGGTATGGCCAACACGATGAGTGATTTCCAAATCGTTGGAGGAATTAAGAAACTCAACAACAACAACTACAACACGTGGGCAACATGCATGATGTCCTATTTACAAGGACAGGATCTTTGGGAGATCGTTGGCGGGTGTGAAACTACGCCGCCAGAGGAGGATTCTAACGACGCCTTGCGCAAATGGAGAATCAAAGCAGGCAAAGCAATGTTTGCCTTGAAGACCACCATCGGAGAAGAGATGTTAGAACATATTTGGGATGACAAGACACCGAAAGAAGCATGGGACACATTCGTGATGTTGTTCTCAAAGAAGAATGATACGAGACTACAACTTCTGGAGAATGAGTTGTTGTCAATTTCACAACGTGATATGACGATTGCTCAGTACTTCCACAAGGTCAAATCGATCTGTCGGGAGATTACTGAACTAGACCCAAAGTCCGCCATTGTAGAATCTCGAATGAAGAGGATTATAATCCACGGATTGCGACCAGAATATCGAAGCTTCATTGCTGCTGTACAAGGATGGCCCACTCAACCATCACTGGTAGAGTTCGAAAATTTGTTAGCCAGCCAAGAAGCCATGGCTAAACAAATGGGAGGCTTCACGTTGAAGGGTGAAGAAGCACTCTACACGAGTGAAAGTCAGAGCAATAATAGGCCGTCTACCAGACGTGGATACAATGGTGACAAAAGAAGAAGCCACCAAGGGATTGCACAACCTGAGAGAGCTCAGAAGAACGACAACAAGAGTTTTCAAAGAACGAGATTTGGTGGTATTTGCTATAACTGCGGGAAAAAGGGCCATATGTCTAGAGATTGTTGGTCCAGGAAAAAGACCATTGAAAACAATGTGGCAATATCCAAAAAGAAGATAGAAGATGAATGGGATGCAGAGGTACTATGTCCCATAGAAGAAGACGAGCTAGCACTCATGGCGACAATGGAAGACCATATCAACTATGAGAATGACTGGATCGTTGATTCAGGATGTTCAAATCACATGACTGGCGATCAGAGAAAATTGCAAGACAAGAAAGAGTACAAAGGAAGTCGTATGGTACGTACAGCAAATAACACACAGTTATCAATTGCTCAAATCGGCAATACGACAATCATGCCTGGCAATAAGTCTGATACAGTGTCGCTACATAATGTTTATCATGTACCGGGTATAAAGAAGAACTTGTTGTCAGTGTCACAACTAACAACATCAGGAAGCTATGTCTTGTTTGGGCCAGAAGATGTAAAAGTTTATCAAGATGTTAAGATAATAGGAAAGCCGACGATAGAAGGACGAAGAGTGGAGTCTGTCTACGTTCTATCTGCAGAGTCTGCCTATGTTGACAAGACCCGAAAGAATGAGACGACAGATCTATGGCATGCAAGATTGGGACATATTAGCTACCATAAGTTGAAGCTGATTATGGAGAAATCTATGCTCAAAGGTCTACCACAACTGGAAGTCAAAACAGACGTTGTCTGCGCTGGATGTCAGTATGGTAAAGCTCATCAATTACCATACAAAGAGTCAAGTTTCAAAGCAAAGAAACCATTAGAGTTAGTTCACTCTGATTTGTTCGGCCCAGTCAAACAAGCATCGATCAGCGGAATGCGGTATATGGTGACATTTATTGACGACTACTCAAGATATGTGTGGATTTTCTTTATGAAAGAAAAGTCTGACACGTTCTCAAAGTTTCAAGAATTCAAGATGATGGTCGAAGGAGAAGTAGGAGCGAAGATTCGTTGTCTACGTTCAGACAATGGCGGAGAATACACGTCAGATGAGTTCGATCAATATTTACACGAGTGTGGGATACGACGTCAATTTACATGTGCCAACACGCCACAACAAAATGGTGTAGCAGAAAGAAAGAATCGACACCTTGCAGAAACCTGTCGAAGCATGTTACACGCAAAGAACGTTCCAGGAAGATTTTGGGCTGAAGCTATGCGAACTGCTGCCCATGTGATCAACAAGCTTCCTCAACCAAAGCTAGGGTTCGTCTCACCATTTGAGATACTATGGGATATGAAACCTACAATTAGTTACTTCCGAGTATTTGGCTGTGTTTGCTATGTATTTGTGCCTGACCATCTACGTAGCAAGTTTGACAAGAAAGCAGTCAAGTGTGTATTTGTTGGATACGACAATCAAAGAAAAGGATGGAGGTGCTGTGATCCAACAAGTGGAAAATACTATACATCAAGAGATGTAGTTTTTGATGAAGCATCTACATGGTGGTCCTCGGAGAAGAAAGTCTTATCAGATTCAAACATTGAAGAAATTCTACAACAGAAGCTGGGGGAGCAAACTACACAAATTCAATCAAATGTCGATGCATCTGAAAATCCAAGCGACATTGATATTGACAAGCAGGAGGTGACTCAATCAAGCGAATCTGATAAAAATGAAACAACACATCAACAACTTAGGCGATCAAATAGAATCCGAAGGCCAAATCCTAAGTATGCAAATGCAGCTATTGTAGAAGATAGAGTTTACGAACCAGAGACATATGAAGAAGCATCACAAAACTCGGTTTGGCAGAAAGCGATGGAGGAAGAAATTATAGCCTTGGAGCATAATCAAACTTGGGAACTAGTGCCAAGACTAGGAGATATCAAACCCGTCTCTTGCAAGTGGGTCTATAAAATAAAGCGTCGACCGGGTGGATCAATCGAGAGATACAAGGCTCGACTCGTGGCTCGAGGATTTTCTCAACAATATGGACTAGATTATGATGAAACATTCAGTCCAGTGGCAAAGATTACTACCGTACGAGTTCTGCTAGCACTCGCAGCAAGTAAAGATTGGAAACTGTGGCAAATGGATGTGAAGAATGCCTTCTTGCACGGAGAGCTAGACAGGGAGATTTATATGAACCAACCAAAGGGATTTGAGAGTGCAGCTAATCCTAATTATGTATGCAAGCTTAGAAAAGCTCTTTATGGACTGAAACAAGCACCGAGAGCTTGGTATGGTAAGATTGCTGAATTTCTTACCCAAAGTGGTTATTCAGTTGCGCATGCAGACTCAAGCCTATTTATCAAAGAAAGAGAAGGAAATTTGACAATTGTGTTGGTCTACGTGGACGATTTGATTATCACCGGGGACGATGAAAGAGAAATTTATCAAACAAGAGAAAATTTATCAATACGCTTTCAGATGAAAGAGCTAGGAGAGCTTAAACACTTCTTAGGCCTAGAAGTTGATCGCACAGATGAAGGACTGTTTCTCTGCCAACAAAAGTATACCAGAGACATGCTTCAGAAGTTCAACATGTTAGAGTGCAAGCAAGTTTCAACACCGATGGAGATAAATGCCAAGATTTGTGCACATGAAGGCAAAGAGTTGAACGATGAAACAACGTACCGACAACTAGTAGGTAGTCTTATCTACCTAACTTTAACTCGACCTGATATCTCGTATGCAGTTGGGGTTATGAGTCGATACATGCAAAGTCCAAAGAAGCCTCATCTGGATGCAGCTCGACGGATCTTGAGATATATCAAAGGTACAATCGACTATGGTCTTTTGTACAAAAGAAGCAAAGACTGCAAGCTAGTTGGATACTGTGATGCTGACTATGCAGGAGACCACGATACTCGGAGGTCAACCACTGGGTATGTGTTCAAGTTTGGTTCGGGAACAATTTCTTGGTGTAGCAAGAGACAACCAACAGTATCATTATCAACTACAGAAGCAGAGTATAGAGCAGCGGCTGGAGCAGCCCAGGAAAGTACATGGCTAAAACTCTTGATGGAAGATTTGCACCAGAAAATTGACTATCCAATATCACTTCTTTGCGACAACCAATCTGCGATTCGCCTTGCAGAAAATCCAGTGTTTCATGCTAGAACAAAGCATGTGGAGGTGCACTACCATTTCATTAGAGAGAAGGTCCTAAAGGAAGAAATTGAGATGCAGCAGATCAAGACAGATGACCAAGTGGCAGACTTGTTTACAAAAGGGTTGAATACTAGCAAACATGAGAGCTTTCGCTGTCAGCTCAACATGATGCAGCGAATGAGGACTAGTGCTGAGGGGGAGTGTTGAAATATCATCACTAGCCCAATAGAGTCAAGCCCAATAATTGTACTAGCCCAATAGAGTCAAGCCTAATTGTACGAGCCCAGTATATTTATTTTAGTAGAGATTTTAGGAGAAAGAGATGTAGATATTTTAGGAGAAAGATTCAATTTGTTAGGTCTAGATTCAAATCGGTTAGGTCTAGATTTAGATTGGTTAAATATAGATTGTTTACTCTTAGTATAAATATCCCCACCCTACCTAGGTTATTCATCCAAGAAATCTAAAAACAATAAAAAGCAGAAGTATTCTACAGAGTGTCTTGTATTCTCTTCTCGATTGGTCTTAATAAAGAGAGCGAGTGTTTCCCACAGTGAGTTGTGTTCAACAAAGGGAACTGGAATCATCGTCGGAATCGGAGGGTAAATGGAGATGGGAACTGGAATTGGAGTGAGATAAACGATGGAGAGGGGAATTAGAAGGTTGAAGATCAGAGTCGCCCTTTCTCTGATTAGGAAGCTTGAGGTTAGGCGAAGAAGAGGGCTCAGAATAAACATAACCCGGTTCAATAAAATTGTGCAGAGATTTCCCAACCGCTTGGAGAGAGAGAATATACGCCGTATGAGCCTCAGCGAACGCGTGGCGAAACCGAATCGCTTCGTCAAGAAAAGCGCAACGGTCGCGACAGAGTACTACGGCAGGGAGGTCGTCGAGCTTGGAAGTGGCGCAACCCATCAAAGAAAAACGGTATAAACAGCAAAGAATCAGAGAAAAACAGAAAATCCGACAACCCCAAATGGGTTTTTCGGGTTTGTCTTAGCGAAGAAACATGAAGATCAGAGGTTGTCGAGAGATCTGGGCAGGGAAATGGATAATCGAAGAAGAAGAGGTGAATGTGGAGTGGGCGTACGTGGGGGTTCTTATCTGGAAGAGGAAATTGAGCTGAAATTATGTGAGATTAAACAGAGGGATTAAGAACAGAGTTTGGGTTTGGAAAGAAAATCTGGAAATTTGGGGATTGAGATTGACTTGAAGTTGACCGATCGTCCGCCGCTGGTTCTTTCTCTGCTCCTGCAACAGACATCTTCTTCCAGTATTGGTAGTGATGCCAAAAAAATAATTAAAAAATTATGGATGTCAATTCCGTAATTTCCAGTTGTATGGATTTTTTTTTTTTTTTTTTTGTCAGGAAATGAAAATAGGAATTCAATTTAAACATTATTATAGTTATGATATCATAATGTTACCTATTAAATGATAAGTTCATTATAAATTCTTATTAATTTGTTTATGAATAAGTTTTGTGATAAAAAAATTTATATAATTATGATTTATTATACATATTTTAATTTAACAAGAATGAATTGGGTTTATAATAAAAATATATTTTTTTATTTATTTGTAATGTAATTATATATTTTAAAATTTCAAATTAAAAATGTTATTTTTAGAATTTATATTGTCTGCTTTGACATGCATAAACATCAGGCTTAGGGTTCAGAGATTTTCATACCCTGAATGTTAGCTCACACACCTCATAATGTCGGGCTCTAATACCATTTGTAACAATTCAAGCTCATCGCTAATAGATATTGCCTATCTTTGTCCATTATGTATAACTGTCAATCTCACGATTTTAAAACGCGTCTACTAGAGAAAAATTTTAACACCCTGATAGAAAAATCAAATTTTTTTATAGCCTAATTAATTTATTATATATAAATTGATTTTTGAATTTACGTTAGATTAGTAGACTTTTTAAAAAAAAATCAAATAAATCAATATCTTCATATACATAAATTTAAAATTTTGAAAATTTGTTGAATATAAAATTATAACTAAATTTGAAATTTAAATATTTAATAAATTTCTAATTCAATTGGTCTTAAATGGATAAAATATTAGTAAATTATTATAATAAACCAATAAAAAAAAGACTGCATATAAAAATAAGACTAAATCAGTAAGTTGTTCTTCGTCTTCAACCTTAGTCAAGATTAGATATATAAACATTGTAATTTATAATAAATTTAAATTTTATATCTAATAAATCTTAAATTAAAAAAAATAAATCAAAAGTGACTTAACCAATCAAATAAATACAAATTTAGAAAAATATATTTGTATTTTTTTTATTTTTATATTTTATGGGTAATAACTATTCTATTATACAAATATATTTTTTTTTAATCCAATTTGTATAATTATTTATATGACGTTAATTAAATTTCTGTCCTTTTTCTTAATAATATAACCACCTTAAATGTGAATCGTTTTTATTTTGGAATTTGAATGTTTCTAAATCAATAAAGTTTATTTAAGAAAATTATGATATAAATTTGCATTTTAATTTATATAAATTATACACATTTTTTTAAAAGTATTTACAATATTATAACCAATATTTTTCAGTTTTAAAGAAAATAATATATGTATTATTTATAATAATAATAATAAAAAAAAGTCCTTTTATATCACATTATTGCTAAGAATTGTAGCAATAAAGCATTTAATGCCCTTTTCTTTCTCATTAAAGAGAAAAGGAAAGAAATAAAAGTTTAAGAAATTCATGGTTCGGTCATTCAATGAACGCTCGTAGACTTCACTTGTCATATATAATCGGTTCTGTTGTCATATATAATTGAATAGGGAGATAAATCTTTTTTCTAACAAATATTTAGTAAAATAAAAAATTAATTAAATAACGCTTAAATATATGGTTAGATTAGTAAAAATATCTTTCAATTTTGTATTTGTCTATAAAATACCTATAAATTATCAAAAGTTTCAATAATACCCTTAAAAATCTAAAAAAAATTAAAAATATTATTACAGTTAATTTTGTTAGTTTTATTGGTCCAAAAATCCCTTAAACTTTCAAAAAAAAACTCAAAAATACTTTATAATTTTCAAAAATTTCAAAAACTTTTTTTTAAAAAATAATTTCAAGTTATTTGGTGGACTTTCAAAAATAACATTAAAATGTTTGGATATAATTTATAAAGTGTCGTTTCGTTTATATATTGACGATAAAAAAATTTTAAAACTTTTTTTAAATAAAGGTAAGGGTGTTAAATGTTATTTTTAAATTTTCATCGGTATTTATTATATATAAATATTTTCAAACTTTTTACAAAAGTTGAACGGTATCAAACGAAGATATTTAAAGTTCGATAATATTTATTAAACACTTTTTAAAGTTAAAAATATTTTAAAAATAAATTACTAATTGTATTTTTTATAATTTTTTTTAAAATTTTTGAAGTATTATTTTTTTATAAAAAATTTATAATTTTTTTTATTAATTTAGCCTAAATTTATTGGTTTATCCACTTTCTAAAGTAGTTTATACTCATCTTTTTATTATTATTATTATTATTATTATTATTGACAAAGTTATTACAGTACTTGTGAAAACATGACATGTCAGCTTTAGTAAAATATATCTCTTTAACAAAATTCTATAAAAGGAAAAGTTACCATATTTTGTTACTCGTATTTTTCTAGTAAATTCCTTCCGTCTACTCAATTTTACTTTTTACCCTTCACTCTTTTTTTTACCCTCACTTCTATTTATATTGCCCCCACAAGAATATTCTCAAAATATTCCATTCCATACAAATAAAAATTTATATTTATAAAAATATAACAATTTAATTTTAGAACAACTTTTAAATTTGTAATAATTTAATTACCCTATGTTTTTTTTAATTTATTTTAAATTACAAAGTTTTATTATTACACTATATTTAAATTGATTTTATTAATTATAAATATTTTTTTACATTATTATTTACTAGCATTTGGACTACTCATCTCTCAAGTTTTTTCTTTTAAATTAATGTTTTAAAAATAATGCAAATTTCAAAGCGATTTTTTTTATATTAAGATTTAAAAATAATACTTTTAATAATATATTCATAAATTAACTGTCAACTTTATTAACATATATAATTTGTAAAAAAATTGATTTTTAATTAGTTTTTAGTAAGAAATTCCATTAAATCTCGATTATATTACCAAATTCTTATAAATTATGTAAAATATAACTACTACTGATATGAACCAAAAGATATCAATCATACAATATATTTCAATGAAAATGTGAAGAAAAGGTTGTCAAAATTATCAAAAGATGTTTCAATTCATACCACAGTGAAGAAGAATGAAGTTTGATTGTTATAAATTTTGTGTGGGTTACAATTTAGAGTTATTGTATTTCATTTATGTATTTTAAGACTTTATTTACTATAGGTTACAATTACATAATGGTTAATTATGGTCATTAAGTATGAATGTTACAACTCTTGTAATACCTTTAATAGTTTCATTTTGAGGCTATATAAAGCTATGTATGTTGTATGTGTAAGAGACTTGGAAAATATAGTAAAAGAAGCGTTTGTGCTCTTCTTTAGCCAATGACTAAGTTCCTTTGCAATTCTATGTAGTTTAGGTTGCATGTAGAATCATTCAAGCTCGACATGATCAATCTTGCTTGTGGAGTGATTCGAATCTCAAACAATGTTCTTGCCTTGAGATATTCGATCAACAAGGTAATTTGAATCTTACTCCCCTTGTAGTGGTTCCTTATCTTATCTATCAACTACGTTGCTAAAAGTTTAAAGAGTAAGTTGTTATAAATTTAAAAGTACGTGAACTAAGTCGTTCAAGTAAGAGACCATATAAATAAATTTAAAAAAAAAAAAGGGAAAAAGTGGAAATATGATGAATCACAATAATAGAGCAATAAATCAAATGAACTATTTAATTAAAAAAATTAAAAAAAATTAAAAAAGAAAAAGAAAAAGAGAAGAAAAAAAAAAAGTAGAGGTACTGAAACTCAGCATGTTTTATCAATCAATGTGAAGTTCCTTTAAACAACATTTCATACTTTGCTTCGCTTTCAATATCTTTTCCTTTTTCATTTTTTTAGTCATAAAAAAAATTAATAAAAGGTTTTTTTTTTTTTTTTTTTCTCTTTATTTTAAAGATTAAAATATGATTTTATGTTTTATAGTGTGAAAAAACGAAGCATTCTTTATAAGGATGTGAAAATCTCTCTCTAACAGACACGTTTTAAAATTGTGAAACTGATAACGATATGTAACGACGGAGGCATAACATTATTATACACCAAACCTATCGGCTTGAAAGCCCCTAATAATGGCATGAAGTTTGGTCAATTGTATCATCAAAATATCCCACAAAGTCAATATGACTTTGAACAAGTTGGGATGAAAAGGTGTAATTTCTCATAGTTTTTCATTTCATGGAAGACTATAAATGTTTGTAGCCCTACCAAAAGATGGATATTCATGAACTACATATCCTCTACCTTTATTCAAATATCGAGATATAATTTATTTCAAAAATACCCTTGTTCTTTGGAAAAGTTACTATATTACACTTCACCTTTTATAAACGTTTCAAAACTGTATTTTTTATAGAAATCTGTTTGAATGCGTGGTATAATTTAAAACTTGGTACGGGTTGGCAAAGATCTAGTACTATTTCAAGTCTCAACTTATGTTAGTTGACATTCTAAAGGATTTCTACTAAGGTAATTTTGAAACGTTTATAAAAGATGAAGGGTAATATTGTAATTTTTTAAAAAATAAAATATTCTTGAAACATAAAGTACATTTCACAAGAAAGCAAAAAAAAAATTAAATTTTATACGTTTCTCAAGCCCACGACTAGCAGATATTGTCCACTTTTTCCCGTATATATTGCAATAAGCCTCATAGTTTTAAAATGCATCTAATAGGAAGAGGTATCCACACTTACAAGAAATGTCTCGTTTCTCTCTCCAACCGATGTGAGATCTTACAATAATAACAAATGATCGTTATATTTATCTATCACATGCAAAATGTGCAGAGATTTTGTACGATCATTTAGGTCCATATTGAAGAATGTAGTGAAGAATCTCATCTTTCATCTATAATGTCAAAAAATATAATACACCCAAGTACTTTAGATTCCCTTCATTCACTCCCTTAATAAATTATTGTGACCATGCTAGCAACTCATTGTACATGGTAAAACATATATATATATATATATATATATATATATATAAATCATCAATTGGGATCCAAT